TCCTGCGGAATACCTGGACAGCCTTTTGAAATAGGGTCCCCATGCGATGCAAGGCACGGCCCGGGTGGTTGGATCATCCTCCCGCCGCACATTGGTTAGGAAAATGAAGCGCATGTGGTCGCCCTCTGCGTACCACTGCTCTGGGGGCAAGCACTTCACCTCAGCATGCTCTCGAGGCCAACGAGTGCATCTGCATCTCGAGGCTGCATCTGCCTCTATATATCGACTTATCTCTGTGGTTTCTTTGCATCACACCAAGTCCCCGATTGCGCGTCTGTGTTTCCAAGCGTGTGTGTGTGTGTGTGTCGCTTGCTCCCTCAATCTCTTTCTCCTTCTCATTCTCTCCATCTCTCTCTTTGTCTTATCGCTCTCTGCCTCTCTCTGTCCCTAACCCCCTCTCCCTCTCCATCTCTCTGTCTGTTTCTGCGCCCATAATTTGCTTGACATCCAAGAAGCTTCCTTCCTGACTCGCGCAGTCTCCCGACGGTTCATGAAACCGTACAGGTCTTCCACTCTGCACCGGGGCTGATTCTCACCCATGCTGCAGGCTTCGCGGAGCCAGTCATTCGATGACTTGTAGCCTGGGAGCGCGGCTGCCCGTATGTGGATGGCTTGCATCAGGAAAAGAACATCTGCACGTAACACTATTTATATATACATATACATATATATATATACATGTTATTGGACCAGCACTTGAGGCATTTGAACTGGGAATGGATCCATATGAATCCACGCACTGTTGCGAGCTTAGACAGGCATGTGCGTGTGTGTGAGTGGGTATATAATACAGCTGGATTGGGAGCTTGTACACGATCCAATTTCGGAACAATTCGCCGCTTCCTGCCGAGCATCGCTTGCTCAAGCGGCCTGGAGCTATGCGATACTCTCCTGAAGCACACGCATGGCAAGCGGCGAAAAAGTGCTGCGCCAACTAGATTCAAAGGAGCTGAATTGGAGGTTCACATCCGCCAAGCACAGACCCAAGCCGCTAATTCATACTTGCTGCTTGACACGAAAATTGCGGGCTTCGCCGTTTCTGATTTGTCCCATGATCACCCCAGCCGCTTTTGCTTTTGTTAGGGGTTGTTCTTGCTGGTCTTGAAACTACAGCCACTTGCAAGTGGGAAAGCAGGACAACCCGCTCCCCCCCCCCACCGCCTTCCCCAGTTGCAACGCCCCCATCGCCAACAAGCAACTTACCAAGTTTTTGCATGACCGCATGAGTGTCGCGCAGTGGCAGTCCCTTGTGTCGTTCAAAAGGGCACCAGGAGTCATAGATTGAGCCTTTGACTCTGGGCTCAAACTATTGGCGGCGGGTTCCATTCACATCCCTTTCTTTCACCTATGCTTGGGTACAATGTGATGTTTGTTGAAAATCCTTTGACAAACGCTCATGGGGATTTATGTCCGCCAACATCCGCTATCAATTCTTTGAATCTGTTCCAACCAACAAATTCTGAGTGATTTCGTCTCGTCCCACCGCACCTGGCAGCCAAGCGGGCCACTCGCCATAGTCTTCCGACACTTCGGATTCGCTGTCCTGGCGTTCTGCTGGATTCCGAACCTGAGAACCAGCGACCTGCCAGTTTTGAAATACAACATTGTTGGCAGGACAACAAACAACAGAACGAACGACGCAACGAAACAACAGAGACACGTCGTTTTTGTATGAAATGCAACGACCACCTCAAAACAAACAAACATGAAATAAAAACAAGCCATTGGCACGGGCGATGTTTCATGGTGTCCAAACAGGGGGTCTGCTGCAAGCATTCATGGCATCATTCGGGCAAGAAGTGGGCGGCCATCACGACCGACCACTACCGGCATGCAGCAAGCACATAACAGGCTGTTTGAATTCAAGTTGCCTGACCCATCCCAACCTCTCCTCATCAGAAGAGCTCGCCACTGTAATGCAGTCATGCCTTTCTGTCCTTCCCAAGGGCGGAACTACAGCAAGCACATTCCAGTGACTTCCTGCACTCATTTGTTGCTTGAGATGCTGAAAGCAGGCCCCTGCAAGCTGGCTAATTGACATCAGGGAGGCAAAAGAAGTCACCACGTTGTTCAGCACATGGCATGGCTGCACTGATGCCTAACATTCACTGCAGGGCTGGATTGCAGCGCTAGATTGTGACCACTACATGGTTGGCATAGAATCGTCAAGTGGCAATGGGCGCAGAAATCTTTCAGAAAGGTTGAGGCACCTTCATCTTCAGAGACTCCGCTTTCCACGTGCGAGCCTCATTCAACCTTTTCAAGCATACCATTGGAATGATCATCGACAACTTGCTGACGTACCCGGTGCCCGCCTCTCAGCCTTGCGCTTTGGAGCGCGTTGAAGCCCCACGTCCGAAAGCCCTGGCGACTTCGAGCTGACTGAAGGAAGTGCCGCTTTGAAACGAGGCCAGCAATGGGCTGGTTCCACCTAAACAACGTAACCCTCACCCTTCAAAGCTGCCTGTGGCAAGGGCTGCCTTATGCTGCCTTCATTGGACAATCCAAGGGTCTTCTAAGCCAAGGCCGGGTTCCAAAGCTAAATCTTTGCACAGGTGCAGCGGTAGCAATGAACTCAAACAAGTGCAAATCTTGTCTGCAAATACTGCCCTGCCTTTCGCCATGACGTCCATGGCCGATTGCATTCTCCTTCACCTGAGGACCCAGTAAACTGGTATAGGGGACAACAATACAGGACTAAACGCATTGACCAGCCCTTACGCACCCCCCCACAATGCAGTAAGTTCGGTTCCTTGCTCAACGGAACCAGTGGCCATGCTGGCAGCCTTGCAACTTGCACCATGTCCAAAGAACAGGACCTGTTTCTGCAAAAGGCCGGCTTGACTTGGGTCAACAGTCAGAACTCTCGAAACATGGTCGTACACGGTCCCAAAAGTTCAAAGGTCCAACTGAAGGGGAAAGCGCGCGCTTTTGACCCCAGGCGAAGGTCTGCAGCCAAGATGCCGCAGGAAAGCTTCCCGCAAGCCGCATCATTTTTTGTGCAGCTTCATAGGTTTTTTAGTTTTTTTCTTCGGGGCGTCCTGGACGGCCGGCACGCTGAAGTGAACGCGGCACAGGGTCCTCTCGCCTCGGCTTCCATTGGTGAGAAAAGTGCTGAGGCTGCTCTGACTTGGACTTGGACTTGTCACGTGCGCAAAGTACAAGTTTTTCTCCTTTTTGGCTCTGGAGGCTGTGCTCGTAAGCTTTTCTCCTGCTTGCATCCTGAACTGACTTGTAAGGCAACCTCATGTCCGCTTGGATTTGGCTCCTGCTTGACCTGTATGTCCTGGCCAGCACTTCCAGGAGGCTAAAAGCCAGCCCTAAATTCAGGGCTCGACACACTAGCCCAAAAGCAGGTCCAGTCAAGACAACTTGCACATAACTGAAACCCACTTTAGCTTCCCCGCTCTGGCAAGCTGGAAGTATGATCAAAAGCAATATCAATGTGTGCTTGGGCCACATACCCCAAATACATAAGCCTTTGTGAGCATATTAGGATTGCTGTGCAAAAGAGACCTTCCACTTGGTCCAAACATTTGTTGTCCCTCTGTAGTGGCTTTTTCCTAGTGGCTAGCTGAACGACTGTGACAGCTAAGGAAATAGGAGTGTTTGCGTCTAGCCGACAGCCCAACCATGAGCACTGTTCAAGCCAGACCAAACAAAACGTATTCCCTGCCAACACTTGCTCGTTTCTACATTTCAAGCTCAGCGGGGCCTGCACAACCTTGGGATCGGTGTGGTGCCAGCGTGGTATGTAAACTGCACTTTTGCAGCTCCAGCTCGTTCATTGTTTCTTGCTCTGCAACGGCGTCTGGTAGCAGGGATCCATCTTTTCTGCTGTTATTATTTTCAAATTCACTCAGGTGCAGTCTGCCAGCTTCAGCCCCACACTCACAACTCACAGTAGAAGTGTAAAACATAATGCATGCCTTGGCAGCTCCAGTGCAAATGGAAAATGGCCCAGTCGTGGACCCTTGCCTTTCGCGGCGCTATCGCCATGCGTTTGCGCTCCAACCCCTCTTGCAAGCGACCGAGGAAAAACAAACATGTCATACCGGCTAGGAACGGTAGTGCTGTTCAAGCTGATTTTGTGCAATGTGTTTGGACACTTCGCCACTTGTGGGGCCAACCCCTGCATACCCAAATTAGATACACCAGTCAGTTTGCAATCTCAAATGTGATGCTGCGTACATTTTTCTGGACTGGTCATATCTGCGCAGGAAAGTGATTCCAGAAACGGGTGCCCAAAGCATAGTTCAGGCGCCAAAGCTCGTGTTTGGCATGCCATGCTTCCCCCGACAAACCAACACATCAGTTATGTAATGAGTCCTTGTCGGAAACCTGTGTCAAGTAACACCGCATATACCACTCAGCCACCATGTCACAAGGGTGTTGTGGAGCTCCTGAGGCAGATGATAAATAAATACACGCTGTCGTCGAAATTGAACAACTAACCAGAACATACGCGCAATCATTATGCCAGTCTTGTCCCCATTTTCCCTCTTGTGTTTCCGGCTTTTTGTATTCAGTCATGCTAGAGGCACTCTGCTGGTTCACTAGAGGCACTCTGCTGTTTCACTGTTTCACTGTCCAGGCCAAGGCACCTAGGGAGATCATATCCATGTTGATTTGGCGCGACATTTTGGTCAAGGTTGAGCTGGCGGGGCAACCGTGCGGCTGAGGCCGAAAGACGCTGCGGGGCACGAGCATTTCAAGCACTCAGCTTGAGAAAACGAAAACATCACATGAGCAAATGTTGCGGCCACGTCTGCAATACATTTTTCATAACAAGCAAAAACAAAAACACGGCAATGTCTGAGCGAGATGAACTTCTGTCCTGTATTCCACACTTTCTGCACATTTCCGGCGCAATGGATGGAGTTGCCGAGCTCGGATGCGCGTCTTAGTTTTGTTGAGGGTCCTTTTGTGTGTGCCTTTTAGTTTTTGCGTGCCGGCAAACTGTTGCTCCATGCTGCTCTTGCGATGTCTTGGGCCCAGGCTCGTTCATGGCGCTGAACACCGATTCTGGCACCTCAGCGTAGAAGGCAAATTTTCCGAGCAAACAGCTATCATATCTTGACCCCAGTTCCAAGCACCTCTGTGGCATGCCGGGGCGGTGGCCAATTGCCAAAAAGACCATTAGCTGATTGACAAACATTGCGTTGCTTCAAATCTCTGAAGCCCAACATGCAAGATAGACCCTCAGGAGCCCGCCATGCGGATGCACCAGCCGGGCTGTGTTCGACCAGCACGCCTCAGCGCTTTTCCGTGAGCCTGAGCCTGCCTGAGCCTCAATTGTAGAATCGCCTTTGTTAGTTTGAACCTCTTGGCCTTGGCCTCCCAGATCCCAAACCGATCTTACAGCTTGCCGCACCAACAAATTCCCCAATCTCCTTCCTCTTTCCATTCATGAAGGCAAATATGAAGGAGCCTTGCGGCTGCCTTGGGAAGGAAGCCTTTGGGAGGCATCTACGGCCATCTGAGAAAGGACTTAGGGAAGCTGGCAGAAGCCCTGCAAATCAGCTTTCGGAAATTGCATAAGGTCTCCAACAGTCCAGAAACTTGCCGAGGGGAGGGGGGGGGGGAGGAGCCTTTGTGCTTCCTAATCTTGAGGCGGCGTCCTGGCGTCCTGTCCATTCGTGGCACGAAACGTGACAATGTGGACAGTCACATTCCGATTGGATAGTTCGCCGAAACTGGCAAAGCTGCCAAGTAACATTTTTCCTCGCAGGTTGCACCTGTCATGGCATAGCCGATCTCACGATCAGCCGTTGCAAACATGGGAGGAAAAAAATGTCCTGCTACACTTCAATTAGCCGCAGGCAGCTATGAGAATGCAAACCCCATAGAATCGGGGCCGCAAGACTACTGATGCTCATTGCATACTCCCCACGGTGAGCCATTAGCTCACAGCTGCGTGGTTCAAAATATACGGCCCATGCACTTTCTAGCCTGTTCGAAATCCGAGCGGCATTATCACAACCTGTCATCACTGAGAACTAGGTTTTGAACAAGCTAGACTTTAACACTTTGCGAGTCGCGAGGGCGCCCTAGTCAGAGGAGCCCCCTTGAATTGCATTCTGCCCCCACAACAGAAGGGCGCCCTACGCCTTTGCGGTTTGCGTGGCCACTGTTCAAAACACGGGATGGCAAAGTGCACCACGCGCTGGCCGCAAGAGTTCCGCACTTGTCACGGCAACGTTGCGACCCTAGGCAAGTTAACTGAGGTTGTAAAAACTGCCTTGTTTTTAGAGTTACTTTTCCCGCATTATCGTTCTTGTTAAGCCAATTTTCGTTTTGCAGTGTTTTGTGCTCCAGTAAAAAGTTCCAGCTCACCGTGCCACATTTAGCTAGCACTGCAGCAAGCTGATGTGTGTCTCTCTTGCTCTCTCCGCCTCTTCGCTCATCTTCTCTCTCTCTCTCTCTCTCTCTCTCTCTCCCCCTCTCCCTCTCTGAGTACAAGTGTGGTAAGGGAAGCACGTGTTGGCTGGCAACTCGGGCTCGAAAGTCGCAGCTTTTCAGTACCAGTGTAGAAAGGGAGTACACCTTGGCAGCTTCGCTCGAAAGCCGCAACTTTTCAGCACAAGTGTAGTAAAGGAAATACACTTGAGCAGCGCTCAAGGCTGATCTAGATTTGATTACCCTCACAGCGCTCCTTTGCGGAGCTTTCGCGCGGGTGTTTTCTTTTCGCGGCGGCTTGTTTTGCATCAACCCGTTTGCGGCCCTTTCGCGGCGGCTGTTTGAAGTTAGCAGGGCAACTTTCAGTACAAGAATGATACACCAAGTACACGTGGCAGCTCGAACATTTCAGAACAGGCGTAGCACACCAAGTGCAGTTTGGCAGCTCCAGCTGCAAAACCGCAACTTGTCAGAATAAGAATATGTGCGTTAGAGGCCACCCCTTGGATCCTAGACCCACGCCTTTTGGGGAGCTTTCGCAGGGCTTTCGCGCAAGTCCCCCCTGCGTTTTCGAGACTGGCAAAGAGCCTGCGCGCGCCCATGGGCAAATGTGTACTTTCGCACGGTCAACGCCTGCTCTTTTCGCGCTGCCTGCCCCAAGCGCAGTCTGATTTTTGTTTTGCGGGCGCAGCCTCACAGGTAGTCTCTCGTGTTGAGCCGGGGCATGAGATCCGATTGGATCATTCTGTGTAACGCGTCTGACCTTTCAAGTGGCAACACAAACAAGAACAAACCACACGAACACACCGAACCAGGGGACCGGGCCGAACAAACCACCACAAACCAGCAGCCAAAACACCAAACCAGGTCACGAACCGGAAGCATCGCGCCCACCCGCAGCCCAAGCGATGGACCGGTTCAGGTTTCAGGAAAAGCGGGCCCAGCAAACAGACGACCCAAACACCCGACCCACAAACAGAGCCACCAAGATCAAAGAGAGCGTTGTCTCAGCTCAGATTGAAACGCAAGGTCATCTAATGGCCCCCTCAGGCTCCAGGGGAGCTCTTTTGTCCAGCTTGTATTTGGAGTATCAACCTCAGACACAGGGTGCGGTGAAAGACGAAACAAGTACGGCAAGGCAAGGATTCAGCATGTCAACCAAACTGGCTTCTCAATCTGGCATCTCCATGATCAGCTTTGAACGATTTTCACGGCTGGGAGCAACCAGAAAGGATGCAGCAAGTCTTAAGGAAAAGTCCGGCGAGGCCCAACAGCCCCTTGTGTTGCAGCTTCGCAGATTACCCGCGAAACAAAACAGCATCTAGATTCTATTCATCTGAATCAGCACTGAGTTCAAGTGTGGGCGTGTTTGCCGGCAGCCACCATGGGCAGGCACCCCGACGAACAATCACAAAGCCGTTCGACATGAAGGGAACCCGAGCAATGCACATCCTTTTTTTTTGCCTATTTGGGCAGTTGTGCACTCTTGCAAGGAATGCGAACCAAAAGGGCACTCTTCCAGGAGTACCCAGCCCGAATTCAGCTAAGATCAAACGAAAAGGATTGGCGCATCGGAAGAACATCAAGCCATCAGCGCCAACCGCATCGACCAGGGGGCCCCACAGAGCGGAAGCCTGACCCAGGCGAATAAAGAAAAACACCCACGAAAATCCGTCCCCAACCACGCCACTCCAGACCTGAATTCGGCAGCCATTTCATGCAAAGAGCGCATCCTCCTCTACGCGCCCTTCTTTTCTCCCGTCGCGAGCGTCTCCTCCGTCTCACCTCCGGTCTCCGGTAGCGTCAATCCTGGAGCCGGAGTCGCCGTAAAGGCTCCCATGATTTGTTCAGCCACCGTCTTTTCTGACCGCAAAGCGGCCCTACAAGCATCCGGAAGGAGAGTGGCCACACGAGCAGCCCCACCGGAGACCGAAGGTTGAATCTCCTGCAACTCCTCAACCTCCTTCTTCTTTCTTCCACCACACTCGGCTACACGGGCAAGACACTCTTTCGTCACCGGCAGCGCAAAGCCTATTGGAAGGCCGGAAGCTGCCGCAAAGTTCACCCCACGATCACGGGTTGCAAACCCGACTGAACATGCAGCAGAAGGCTACCGGAGGATCCTGGTGTCACTTCCGCAAAGTAGCTGAGCAAACCGTTCTCCGAGACCACCACAGCGTCTATCACGTGCAAGTAGGCGGTGATCTCCCCTTCTTTCCCAACCTCCCACGTGGCCAGCAAGAAGTGACCCTCATCGTTCATAGCCGGTTCGTAAACACCGAGGCTCGCCTTGCCAACTTTGAAGTCGTCTGTGCGCACGGCTACCACCCCGTCGTGCACAGATTGGAACCAATCCACCACACATGCGCTGGAAACCTTGAACTGTTTCGCCACGGCGGTCCGATCGCCTTGACGTTCTTGCTCAAAGTTTTGCCACACGCCAATTTGCTTCTTTCCAGGGCGGATTCCTACATGGTCTCCAAGCACGTGGAAAACCGTCAAAGCGGTCCAAGATGACAAGATGAGACCTGATCCAAACCCTTCACCGAAATCAAAGCGTACCAGATCAGCCAGCAGCGCGTGAACGTTTTCCGCATCTTCTGCAGCTGGGACTCCAAAAAGCCTCTGGTTTCGAACACGGACGCCGCCACACCTCCATTGATGACACAGAAGCTCTTCTTCTCAGCACCATGAGGTGGTCGCGGATCATCGTTGAGCTCCAACACAACAATCGCCAAAAGAGACACAGGAGTGCACCCAGGCCCAATCAACCCAAATGCAAAGAAGTAGAGAGCAATGGACAACCATCTACTCCTGTCCATGTCATGCTTCCCAATCGCAGCCTCCCTAATGGCCCTCCACAGTCCGTACACCTGACCAAGGGGCTGCGCCACCACGTTCGCCACCACAACTAAAGGTCTGTCTCCTCTGTTGGCCATAATACAGCGCCCATCCGCCCAACACCAAAAGCAACCAAGTGCTCCAGAGTGGGCCACTCACACTGACAACGGCGATCCGGAAATCACGGATCCCACATGCAGGACAGCCAGTCCAACCTGAGAAAAGAGAAAGAATCGCTATCACGCTCCTTGACGCGTCTGCTCGAAGTAGGGCCTCAGCCCAACACCAAAGGCCCCAAGACGCCATAAGCATCGAAGTGAACCGCACGCGCCACAAGCTGGAACCCTGTTTCCACATAACGAAAGCAGCCAACAACATCAGCGTGCCCAATGGAAATCGAGGAATATTCCATTGCTCACAATACACCACAAGAAAACCAGTGAGCACATTAAACACCGAATCCATAAAACCGGTCTCAAAACGATGGTTGCTCATCAACAAAACAGTCATCATAATAGCAAGAGCAACCCAAAACCCCCAAGACATTCCCAAGGAACCAACTACAACAGATACATTAACAGAAACAAACAAGCCCCAAAGAATTGCGTCATCTCTCTTCGAAGGAACAGCATGTACAATAACAGAAATTACCAAACCAACACCAGAAAAGATGGCAAGAACCGTAGCAAGGTATTCTGAAAGGCGTTTATCCCAGGCTGACACAAAACCTCCAGCCAATCTACGTAGATCACCGAGATCTAGGCAATAGCCAAAGACATACCAATGTCCCCGCTCACGCTCCGGCACTGATCGGGAGCCACCGGCATTTGCCATGTCTCACAGCGGCGTGGAACGGTGACAGGCACCCGAGATCCTGTCACCTTGTAACAGAATGTGCGCGATAGAACCGACATCCGCGCCGCGCACTGACACCGCTCTCTGTCACCGAAACCAGGCCACGGCAACCATCCCCAAACACCTGAGGCAACCGCCCTTTCGACCGGCAGTTGCAGA